CTTCTTAGCTCCCACCAAATGATTGGGTGGGACCATGGATATAGGGTGTACAGGGTTCTAACACCAAGATTGGTTACTTTTGCCACCCCGTGAAGTTTAAAAGGAGCCATGTCAGAAGTGGGAACAGACGACCCCAGGACCATTAAGAAAGAAGATCCCAGCTTGGAAAAGCGGCAACAGCAGAGACGGTGGCATGGAGAGACAGAGCAGCGGCTGGTTTCCAGGCCGCCAGAGCAAGAGGCTGACTTGCAGAATGTGCCCTTTGGGCATTCACAGACTGCCTAACAGAACTTCATAACGCTTGCCCAAGTAAGGCAGAGGTCAAGGGGCCACATGGCTGAGACGCCCAAGACAACAACAGTAAGGCGTACCTGCAGTACAGTGGACAAGAGGCGTTCCGAGGTGGAGACCTGAGTTCTACCCTGGTCACTTCCCTAACAAACCCCATACTCATGAGGATTGTTATAGTTCTGTGTGGCCATTGCAGTGAGTTACGAAACCCAGATGTGCAGCAGAGAGAGCTGGGGGAGGGGTGGTTGGTGTCAGAAGAGGAGAAAGAAGGGTGCAGGGCGGAGATATGTCTCAACTCACTCATAGGAATGGACCTTGGGCTGATTTTGAGTTTGATTCTCCTTCCCTCTTGTGGAGCCAGAGGAAGTCAGACATGGCCTCCCTGCTGTTTTTGCGGTGCACAGACTAGCAGTCGGTCTGAGGGGACATGGGCAGGTGACAACAGCAACCACCACAATTCTCTTCTCTTGGCTTCCATACCTTGTCAACACTCTTTCTCAGTCTCTAGAAGATTTATCCACTCCTTCTAGCCACTTAAGCCCCCTCTTGCTGATGTCTTCTTTTCTTCCCAGGTGCTCATTCAAGGGCATCCTGGACGACTCTGGGATCTTCTCTCCAGACAAGACCTGCCCCTTAGCTCCAGACCTTTTAGCTCCCATTGTCTTTTGGCAGCCTTCTGTGGATGTCAAAGGCACATCCAAAGTGGAGCTCACAATTTTCCTTCTCCTTCACTTCCCAAAACGTTCCCTCCCTAGGGGTATGAGATTTCAAAGAATTCGTGAGAGAACGGGCTAAAAGGATCATTTCATTTTCCCACAAACTTTCTAAAGACCACGCGTATTTGTTTCCTATGGCTGCTGTGACCAATGACCCTGAACGTGGTGCTTTAAAGCAGCAGAAATATATTCTCTCACAATTCTGGAGGCCAGAAGTCCAAACCCAAGGTGTCTGCAGGGGTGCACCCTTTGAAGATTTAAAAGAGTTACAGAATTTGTTCTGGGGTTTCAATCACCTGGCTACTTGGTTTTCATGATCTAGATGTGATTTGTAATCTAGCCATCCTGAGTCAGCCACAAGGCAATACCAGGACCCCAACATTGGATTTAAATTAGATAGCAGGCATCTGGATTAGCTACCTTCAGTAAACGTCCAGGCAAATTCCCTAGTTCATCGTGTAACTATCTTTCTGCCTACTAGTTAATCTACTTTCAACCACTCTCTTCCTGAGGCAAATGCTCCTTCCTGGTGCTCATCTGTCTAAGCATCCTACTGCTGGTTTAATGGTCAGCAAAACAAACATTGGGGACAGAACAACGCAAATGACATCTGACTTTACGTCAAGACTCAGCATGGAGATAGTCGTCGCAGCACCCCCTCGCCCTCCGCCCAGTAGATTGCAGCCTCCTCGCACAAGACGTTAACTAATTCCAACTTCAGGATCAGGAAAACCCTGTTTAAGGGATCTCATAATTGGTGAGAAGCCTCAAATCGACTGCTGTTGATTTGGATTCATGGTGACCTGCTACGATCGAGGAGAACAGCTCCCAGGGTTTTCCAAACTGTCAATTTTATGGGCTCAGATGACCTCATCTTTCTCCCAGGGAGTGGCTGATGAGTTTGATTGGCTCCTGGTCTTGTCTGTTGTTGTTGTTAAGTGCCATCGAGTCGATTCTGACCCATAGCGACCCTGTGTAGGGTTTCCAAGGAGCAGCTGGTGAGTTTGAACCACCGACCTGGCAGTTCAAATGGCTTTGCAGTCTGGTGCATTAACCCACAGCGCCACACCAGGACTCCTAGTGACTATTAGATTTTGTAAATGTCAACTACTCAAGAATTTTTTTCCGGATAAGTTTTTGAGTTTTCTGTACTTGTTGATAAGTGCCATAGAGTCGGTACCAACCGATAGTGACCCTGTGCACAACAGAATGAAATACGGCCTGGTCCTGGGCCAACCTCACAATTATTGCCATGCTTGAGCCCATTGATGCTGCCACTTTGCCAATCCATCTTGCCAGGGGTCTTCCTCTTTTTCTCTGACCCTCCACCTTACCAAACATGATATCCTTCTTCAGCGACTGGTCCCTCCTGGCGATATGTCTGAAGTATGCGAGATGAAGTTTGGCCATCCTGGCCTCCAAGGAGCACTCAGGCTGCACTTCTTCCAACACAGATCTATTGGTTCTTTTTTTTTGATCTGTTTGTTCTTTTGGCAGCCCACAGCACTTTTAATATTCTCTTCCACCATAACTCAAAAGCATCAATTCTTCTCCAGTCTTCCTTATTCACTGTCCAGCTTTCACATGCATATGAGGTTATTGAAAATACCATGGCTTGGGTCAGGTGCATCTTAGTCTTCAAGCTGACAATCTTTGCTCTTTAACACTTTAAAAAGGTCTTGTGCAGCAGATTTGCCTAATGCAACACATCATTTGATTTCTTGACTGTTGCTTCCATGAGGATTGATAGTTGATCCAAGAAGAATGTTGTTTATTGGTCCAGTTGTGAGGGTTTTTGTTTCTTTACATTGAGATGCAATCCATACGGAAGGGTGTGCTCTTTCATCTTCATCAGTAAATATTTTAAGTATTCTTCACTTTCAGCAATCAAGGTTGTATCATCTGCATATCACAGGTTGTTAATGAGTCTTCCTCCAATCCTGATGCCACATTGTTCTTCACATAACCCAGCTTCTCATATTATTTGCTCAGCATACAGGTTGAATAAGTATGGGGAAAGAATACAACCTTGTCACACACCTTTCTTAATTGTAAACCATTCAGTGTTCCCATGTTCTGTTCGAACAACTGCCTCTTGGTCTATGTACAGATTCCTCATAAGCACAATTAAGTGTTCCAGAATACTCATACTTCGCAATGTTGTCCATAGCTTGTCATGATCCACACAATCGAAAGCCTTTGCCGTAGTCAATAAAGGACAAGTAAACATCTTTCTGATATTCTCTGCTTTCAGCCAAGATCCATCGGACATCAGCAATGATATCCCTCATTCCACATCCTCTTCTGAATCCAGCTTGAACCCCTGGAAGTTCTGTCAGTGTACGCTTACAGCCGTTTCTGTATTACCTTTAGTAAAATTTTACTCTCATGGGATATCAAAGATGATTCCTTTAAACTGGAGTTCTTTGGTGAATTCTCACAGCTGAGTATTCAGGATCACTGTATTCCTTCAATAAAACTTTGCTTTAATTTTTAGAGACTCCAATTTACTCTTTGACTAAACCAAGATGAGGACAATGCAAGGGGCAGGGAAACTAGATGAAGAGAAACGGCACAACCAGAACAGAAATAATGAGAATGTTCACGCATTCTGAAGAACGTAATCAATGTCACGCAACAATTTGTGTAGAAAGTGTTAAATGGGTCCCTAAACTGCTGTGTAAAACCTTCACAGAAAAGAAAACAATTTAAAAATCAAAATTTAAAAGAGTATTACCCATTACTGGGCGGCAGTATCAAAGTGTGAAAGGATTCGCGTGTTTCGTTCATCTTAGATGCGAGCTGTGGCACTGTAGCATAAGCCCTGGACTGCTAACCGGAAGGTTGGCAGTTCAAATCTACCAGCCGCTCCTCGGAAACCCAGAAGGTCGCTAGGATTGTACCGACTGAAGGACACTCTACCTGGTAGCGTAATGGTCACGAATCGGGCTGCGAACCGCAAGGTCAGTACTTCGGAACTACCAGCTGTTCCACGGGAGAAAGATGAGACTTTCTGCTCCCTGTAAAGATTTACAGCCTCGGAAACCCTATACAGGGTCGCTATGAATCGGAACCGACTCCGCGGCACTTAAAAACCACCACCACCACAAAAATGGGAGCGCGGTAAGAAGCGTCGTACAACGCGCTTGCCCTTTGACCCAGGAAGTACGGCCGGGCGCGCTGTGCGACAGGGTCGTAAAGCCAATTGGCGGAACATGGCGCTGTACGCGGCTGCCGCGGCTGTGTTGGAGGGGGTTGAGGGTCGCCAGGGCTCCATTAAAGGACTGGTATATGGCAGCCGCTTCCAGGTAGAGGGGACCCGGCGAAGGGAGGGTGGGGTCGGAGCCCTAGGGCGGTTGCGGGGGTCTCAGCGGTGCAGGGGCGGTGGTGGGAGTCGGTGCTGCGGGCTCAGCAGTGTGCTTCTGGCCGCGCGCAGAACGTGAAACAGCTCTACGCGCTCGTGTGCGAGACGCAGCGCTACGCCGCCGTGCTGGACGCCGTGATTTCCAGTGCCGGACTCCTCCGCGCCGAGAAGAAGCTGCGGCCGCACCTGGCCAAGGTGACAGGCGGGGGGGGTCCTGCTTCTACGCCGCAGGCTGGGGCCCAGGGAGTTCCGGAACCTGTAATCCGGAGTCTAGGAGTGGCGCTGCGGGTTAATGCACTGGACCACAAGTTTAGCGGTTCGAGTTCATCAGCTACTCCTCGAAAACCCTGTAGAGGCTTGCTATGAGCTGGAATCGACTCAATGGCGTTTAAAAAAAAGAATCTGGTCCCACGGAGCCCTGGTGACGTGATGCGTTAAGTGTTGACCTGCTAACCGCAAAATTGGAGGTTCTAAACCACCATTTGCACCTCGGGAGAAAAATGGGACTGGATCCTCACAAAGATTTATAGCCTTGGAAATCAAAAGGGGCGTTTCGATTGCACTATAGGGTCTCTCTGAGTCGGAACCCTCTCAGTGGCAGTGGGTCTGGGTTTGGGTCTAACTGCCACTCACAGTTTAGCAAGTGGCTCATCTGAAATGGTTATGGATTGAGATGGGAGGGAAATGCTTGTTAACTATGAGCCCTGCATGTAGAAGACCCCAAGTGCCAAGTTGCTATGGCATAGACCTTTCAAGTAAATAAAAAGGGTAATGTTGTTGAGGAGGATGGTTAGGGAAGACCCCAAGTACCAAGTTGCAATGGCATAGACCCTTTAAGTAAATAAAAGGGTAATGTTGTCGAGGAGGATGGTTAGGGTCCAGAGCTGTGCTGGGGAGCAACCATGGAGGAAGGAAGGGGTCTGGACTGGGAGGCAGGACCCAGGTTCTAATCCCGGATCTGTCAGTAATGTCTTGTAGGGTCTTTGCTAAAGTACTTTCTTAGTTCTAAGGCTTTTAAATGCTTCGGGTTTCTCTGTTTCTCAATCTCTAGGTGCTAGTGTATGAGCTGTTGATGGGACGGGGCTTTCAAAAGGGTGGGGGCCGATGGAAGTCTCTGATGGCCCGGCACCAGGCAAGGCTGAAGGCCGAGTTGGCCCGGCTCAAGGTTCGTCGAGGGGTGAGCCGGAATGAGGACCTGCTGGAAGCGGGACCAGGGTCTGGTCCAGGTGAGCTGGAGGGAGTCGTGGAGTGGGGGTAGCCTTGGAGGTCCTCAGAGGGGAGGGCTATGGTCCTCCTCACTGCTGATTGTTTCCTAGCTGACCAGATACCTCGGTTTGTGCGGGTCAACACCCTCAAGACCTGTTCTGATGATGCAATTGATTATTTCAAGAGACAGGGTTTCTCTTATCAGGGACGGGCTTCCAGGTAAGAGCTTAAAACCTTGTGTGGGCTGCTCTCTTCTAGAGAGGCGCCTGGGGGTGGGGGAAGAGAGGTTGGGTGGTGTGATTACACGCTAAGGGCTTTCTTCCTGGTTTTCCAGCAAGTTCTCCATCTCCTAAGGCTGTCTTCCTCCCATCCTTCAACATTGGTATTCGTGGGCGTCCCAAACTACATTCTTCTCACGTGTCCCTCAGTTCTTTCTCCTGGCTCTAATTTCTACCTCTCACCTGATGATCGCCGCCGCCTGGGCGGGCCTTCTCTCTTGTGCATCTGAGTATTCCTCAGAAACTGTTCATGATGCTAGGAGGCATCTTAATTTCCTTCTCTTTTCATCATCTGCACTCCTTATTTTAACCTAACAGATTTTACTCTTTCCTACTTGTTTATCTGCCTAAGCCACCCCGCCGGTCATTGACTGTCGCCTTGAGCATTTTTCTCCAATGCATCAGGCCTGGCTTTAGGTCCTCATCATTTCCAACTGTCAGAATTGACCGACGAGTCCCTACCTCATCTCCCCACTGCCAGATGAGCCTGCTTGGTTTGTCCATCTGGTCAGCTGCAGAAAGGTCTAGAACCAGATCTGATGCTGTAATCATTAGAGAGACAGGTTGCCCTATATTTCTTCCTTGGAGCAGCTAGTGGGGTCAAACCCCCAACCTTTTGATTAGCAGCCAGGCTCTCCCCCCGACTTCCTGTGGGCAAAAGGGTGGTAGAGAATAGCTTTGTTTGGGTTAGGGTCCCAGTAGTGACACTTGGTAGCTTTTTGAACCCTGTCTTTGCACCATCTAGTGGACCACTGTAGAGTCTTATTCTCAGCCTATCCCATAACTGTGTCCATCAAGCGTCAGCTCAGATCTTTCCTCCCTGAAATCTCTACCCCACCTCAAGCTTATGCTCAAAAAAAGTCACAACTGCCTTTGTGGAGTGCTTTTTGTGCCAAGTAGTTTTCTAAGTGTTTGGTCTCACATCTGTCTCGTCACAAAAGAGCAGCCTGAGATGCTTACTCTCCTGCTGCTGAGAAATGGTCAGGTGTAAGTTTTCTTAAACTGTGAACTCGGCTGTTTCTGTCTTTTCACCCTGTTTACTGGTAGCGAAGTGGTTGTGAATTGGGCTGTGAACCACAAAGTCAACAGTTCGAAACTACTAGCTGCTCCGCGGGAGAAAGATGAGGCTTTCTGCTCGCATAAAGATTTACAGCCTCGGAAACCCTGTACTACAGGGTCACTATGAGTTGGCACTGATTTGACGGCACTTAACAACTCCTTCATAGCCCTTTCAAAGATTGGTTTTAGTAACGTTAAGATCAACAGGCCAAGTGTCGAGCACGGATGAATTGAGAATCTCTCAAGCTAATGATTCTTACTCCTTGTGTCTAACCCCTTCCCTGACAGCCTTGAGGACTTAAGGACTCTGAAGGGGAAACATTTCCTTCTGGATCCCTTGTTACCTGAGCTGCTCGTGTTCCCTGCCCAGACAGATCTCCATGAGCATCCACTGTACCAAGCCGGTCACCTCATCTTACAAGACAAGGTGGGGAAGATAGGTAGAAAAGGGAGGACGTGGGCGGGACAGGCCTGGAATCTGAGCTCACTTAGCTGCTCGCCTCTGCTTGGCCAGGCCAGCTGTCTCCCTGCCATGCTGCTGGCACCGCCACCAGGCTCTCATGTCATCGATGCATGTGCTGCCCCAGGCAACAAGACCAGTCACTTGGCTGCTCTTCTCAAGAACCAAGGGTGAGTGCTGCCCGCACTGGAGGGAGAGCCAGTGTCTTGACGGGTACTTCGTTAGGAGAAAGAAGAAACTCTCATTTTACTGGGACATCAAGGAAATGCATCCTTCTAGACCTGGGAATTTCATGGGCTAGGCCTCCACTGAGCCTCCTAGTAGGTCACAGGTGTGGGATACAAATCCCTGCATCCAGAGGACAGAGTCCTTGTGGATTACTAAAGTGGTTCCCATGTGTCCTGACTTAAGAGTTGTGTTCAGAGTGGTGTTTAAACCTGTTCAAGCACGTATGCTGAGACTGCCCACAAATCGTATTTTTCTCCTCTGTGAGAACAGAGCTCTGCACCTCTGCATTCACCCTCAATGCTGACCTCCTCCCTAGGAAGATCTTTGCCTTTGACTTGGATGCCAAGCGGCTGGCATCTATGGCAACTCTCCTGGCCCGGGCTGGCGTCTCTTGCTGTGAGTTAGCAGAGAAGGACTTCCTGGCTGTCTCGCCCTCAGACCAGCGTTACCGTCAAGTGCAGTACATCCTGCTGGACCCCTCCTGTAGTGGTTCTGGTGAGATGGGGAGAACGTGCAGCCGAGGACTCTGCAGTCAGAGCCTGACGCTGAAGCAGGCTCGTTTGTTTGGGTCTGGAGTTGAGTCTGACTTGTTTTTTTCTGCACGGCTTGAGGCCGCCACTGAGACCTTTTCCTCTTAGGTATGTTGGCACGACAGTTGGAAGAGCCCGAAGCAGGACCCCCTAGCAAGGAGCGCCTGCGTGCCCTGGCTGGGTTCCAGCAGCGAGCTCTGTGCCACGCGCTCTCTTTCCCATCTTTGCAGCGCCTGGTCTACTCCACGTGCTCCCTTTGCCAAGAAGAGAATGAAGATGTGGTACAAGCAGCTCTGCAGAGGAATCCAGGGACCTTCAGGTGATGGGAGCCTACAAGGAGCTGGGTGCTGCTGGGCAGTGCTCCTTTACTCAGACCTCTGTGCTCGCTCCTCTTCCCAGGCTAGCTCCTGTCCTGCCCTCCTGGCCCCAGCGAGGCCTGGGCACCTTTCCAGGTGCTAAACACTGTCTTCGGGCCTCTCCAGAGACCACGCTCACGGCTGGTTTCTTCGTTGCTGTCCTTGAGCGGGTGTCAAGGTGAATAAGTAGGGGAAGGTGAGTAGGGGGATCCTGCTTGGCACAGGACATCTGGGGGTGTCTAACAATCTCTGCTTTTCTTCCAGATCAGCCTCACAGACTGAAACACCGGGGCCAGAACTGCCACCTGGCTCAGCCCGGAAGAAGAAGCTGCGGTGCCAAAAACCAGCAGCTGGTGCTAGCATACCGCCCTGCACATAGCAGGTGCTCCGGGGCCTGAGGCCTGGTGGCAGTTCTGTCCGTGAGACTACTGCTACGGGAAGGGAACCAGCATCGCAGACGAGCGTGGGCTTCCTTTTCCTGATTGCAACAAGTACTGCCCACAACAAGAAACGACAGAGCAAGGTCTATGGTCGATCACAGTTTATTTTATTCTTAATGACATAAGCAAGGAGAAAAATTGCACATTCATACTAAAAATTCCAACTGGACTCAACAGGAATTAAGTCTTTCTCTGTAATGGGAAATCTCAGCCTCCCGTTCACAGACATACACACACTCACAGGCTACACCAGGGGACCCTCATTGGGGGTTATTGGGTCCATGGTCCTGCCTGTGTAACTGAGGTAACCCGCTCAGAGGACTACAACTAAGAGCCTCCACCTCACCTATGGTACAGGCAGAGACTGCTTTTCTAGCCCCACGCCCCACCCCCACCCCCCCACAAGCTATTTGGGCCTTGAGGTTCAGGCCCCTCCTCAGTTCCACAGGCAGGCACACTGGACTTGAGGGTTGTTGGGGGAACAGTCCCCAAGGAGGGACTAGCTGCATCTACATCACATTATAAAACGAGGTGACAAGCTGTCAGGTGGAGCTCTAGTCCCTGGGGGAAGCTGCCCGGGCCCCCATGGGAGCCCCCTCTTCACACAGACGTGATTTAACTATAAGCGAAGCCCTAGTCAATAGTTTTTATACTGAACCACCTCAGTGAACCAAGCTTGAAGGAATTTAAAAGGCAATTTAGCTTAAATACAAAAATAAATTTTTATTTTGTTAAAAAATGTTTAAATATCTTTTCTTTTAATTTAGACACACGCATTCATACTTCTCCCCAAGAGGGTGGGCATGGCCGCAGGGTGCTTGGGTCTAGGGTATGCAGTTTAGGGTGAAAAGGAACAAGAGGAGTTGGGTTGGAGAGGGCCTTGTTAGGAGAAAATCACTAAGGGATAATTTTAAAGTACGGTTCTTTCATTTTGGCTTGCTTAACATACTTGTGATGTACCTGTAGGGAGGTTCAGGCCCGTGGGAGAGAAGGAGAGGAAGAGGTCTTCCCTGGTCCCCGGCCTGGACTACCAGCCCGTGACATGGAAACACCATTGGGAAATTCAGGAGTCAGGTGCTTGCAGCCGTTATCAGCGAGGCCCCACAAACTTGAAACCGTTAGTCCGGCACTACCAACATGCCGCCACTCACACAATTCAGTTCTTCCTCCAAACTCGATTCAAAGAGCAATAGACGAGCATCAGACAGTAACAGGGACAGGGCTGGAAACCTACAAGCCCAGGGAGGCAAACAGGCCAGGAGGGGAGGCGGCAGCTGCCCCAAGGCTGGAGGAAAGCAGCCAAGAGCTTCTTCCTTCTCTTGGAGGAAGGGGTCTCACCTCTGGGTCTGCCAGGCTAACAGTCTTGAGCCACTAAACTTCTAGGGGCCGTAGTGGCAGAGAGGTTTCATTTTGACCTGACATGTGGCTTCGGGCTCTGCAGGAAGGCAGTGGAAGAGCATGAGCAGCACCCACTGAGGTCTCAGAGGCGAAGCCTGGTTTCAGATCTTTTTGAAGTGACAGATCCTGCTAGGAACCGGTAAGGGACAAAGCAGCAAGAAACCGGGGCCCAGAGGAAGAGCCACTACAGCCAAGCCCAGTAAGGTTTCGCTGCAGCGAGCATCTACTTTGCTTCGGTGTACACCCAAGAACACAAGTGGGCGAGGGCTGTGCCTGCCACCCTCCAACAAAGATGGCGCTCAGAGAAAAGGCGAGTCAGGAAGTGGTGGACAATATATACAGGTGTTTCTTTACTTCTTCAGCCTCCCTGGTAGAACTGTTCAAAGAGAGTGGAGGCATCTGCCTGGCCTCACCCTACCTCATTGCTCCCTTGAGGGAAAACGGCCCTAGGGTGGCCACTACCTCCTAGGTGGCCGAAGCCTGAGGTCTGGAGTAGATTGACTTTTCGGAACCAGAAAGGGCAGAGGCTCTTCCCAGCAGGTGCCAAGGTCCAGACTTCGCAGGGGGTGGGGAAGTGGGGATCAGAGTCCAGCGCTATTTCTTGCGGGTGTGCTGCCTTCGGGCCTGTAGTCGCTGTCGAGCCCCTGGGGTCTTGGATCCTGCGCCAATGGAAAATGAAGGCGTCTGCGACCCTGGAAAGATGTAACAAGATCTCATCAGCAGCTGCCATCTGACACTTCTGGGCACCCCAATCTTTGCACCGAGACAATTAACATCGGTGCTTGAGGAATTCCCCAGCTGTAGAGCACTCTGTTGTTAAAAATGCAAAATCCCAGAATCACGTAGCAGGTACTGAGAGGAATTTGTTTACCGGGCTTCCCCAGTGGTCTGGGAATTTCTACCCGAAAAGGCTCCTTACTCTTCTCTGCTGTCCAACTCCACACCTGGCTTGTGCAGGGCTCCTAGCCTGGTCATGTTCCCCATGCAGTGAGCAGCCAGGAGCCTGTTCCCCCAATCCCTCCTCAGAATGGTCATTCTGGCTGCTTACCAAAAGGTCCAACTCCAACAAAGCCCTGGGCGGGTGCTGAGGGCACCCCAAAGGAGAGGCTGCTGCCAGATGGGCCCACTCCAGGGGCAGGCGTATTCTGACCAAAGGTGGGCGTGGAAGTGCCTGCAACAAAAGCAGAGGCTTCAAAGGGGAGGTTTGCTCTCCACAGAGGCATTGCTTGAAATGATCAAAAGGATACCTGAGCCCTACACACCGGTCCCTGCTCACCCCCAACCCAAGGTACAAGAGAAAACTAAGCCTGATGCTTTGGGTGAGGCTACAGCCTGCAGGGCCACCTCCTGGCTGCCTGCCCCATCATCCCACTGCAAAGGAACACTCAGCCAGCAGAACCCCCTCCTCATGCAGCCTGACCAAGTTACCCACCTCCCTTCATCAAGACGACTCTCCATCATTCTGTCCTCAGCAGCGGGAGGTTTCCCACCAAGCTCTCAGCTCACACCACTGTAGGTCCCCTCATCCTCCCACTTCTTTTCCACCTACCCCTCTCAAGACCAGGCTGCTTCCTTAATGACCTTGTTTGTTCTAGGATAAAAGTGGCACTTGAGGGTAAACCCTGGACTGCTAACTTCAAAGTCAGTGGTTCAAACCCACTAACTGCTCCTTGGAAAAGGATGCTGAGTGAGAACTCACCAACACTTAACACAATCTCCAAGTATGGGGTAGGGATCCCCCCAAACATTTCTCTCCCCCCTCTGTCAAATCACTCAACTCCTTCCTAGATCAGACCACAGCTGACTATACAATACTCAGCTCCTTGTCCTTATTCACATCTCAAGGTCGGCAGTTTGAAACTACCAGCCATTCCGTGGAAGAGAAATGAGGCTTTTTGCTCCTGTAAAGATTTACAGCCTCGAAACCCAGTACAGGGTCGCTATGAGTTGGAACCAACTCCACGGCACATAACAATAACATGGTGCTGTGGCTAATGCGCTGGACTGCAAAGTCAGTTTGAACCGCAAGGTTGGCAGTTCAAGCTCACCAGCTGCTCGGAAACCCTATACAAGGTCACCATGGGTCATCACTCCTTTATCCATGCCAACACCTAGCTGTGTCCCCCTTACTCCGGGTCCTGGTCTTGTGATCTCAACACCTGTGAAAGTAATTGAGCCTCTTGGTTCTCTCATCCTGAGACAGCCAGATCCGTGTGAGACAACAGACGTCTCCTGCCCCCCACAGGTCCGTGTGAGACAGACAGCAGATGCTTCCTGCAACCCACTCCCCACACCACCCAGGTCCATGGTGAGCTGCATCACCAGGAAGTGCACTGGCTCCCACCCTGCCCTGTTTTTGCACTCCTGCACCTCTCCCCCTCCGCCTGCCTCCTTCAGCAGGTCAGTCGGGGTCTACACCTCCACACAGAGCAGAAATGCCCACCAGTGCTGGTGCACTTTACTTTCAGTCTGTCACCACAAGGTCCAGGGACCCTGACATATGGGGGTAGACCTTCAACTACTCTCCTGAATGACCCTGCCTATGAAACCACTCCCTAGCCTCCCATCTCACTACGCTACACAACAGAGGCTGTTGGGGAGACATTCCCGTCCCGTCTTCCACAGGTGTGCACACTAAGCTCTGGTCCTAGCTATCCTGTGTGCCTCCATGACTTTCACACGGCCCCAACCCCTCGTCACAAGTAAGGTCTCAGCTTCAACCGGTTACACTTCCTCAGAAAGGCCCATCCTTGACCTTGTCAATCCATGACAGCTCCTGCCACCCCTGCCCAGCACAATGCAGATCCATTCCTCAGCTCACCTCCAAACACGGGTTTACTCTCAGGTGTGCTGGTCACATTGAAGGCAAAGGGTGTGCTCTGGCTGGCTGCGCCCAATGTGTTCTGACTCAAGCTTCCCCCAAAAGGGGTTGTGGTGCCGGTGGTCCCACTCTGCCCTGCCCCAAAGCTGAAGGCTGCAGAGGTGGCGCTGGTGCCTGGGGTTGCCACAGTGACCCCAAAGCCCCCACTAGCAGCTGGTGCTGCTGCTGCTGATCCCCCAAACGTGAAGGGCAATGGCGTGGTGCCGCCAAACACTGAGCTGCTGCTGCTCTCGCTGCTGGTGGTTTGGGTGGTGGCCCCAAAACCAGTGGTGGTGGCTGCTCCAAAGGAGAAGACAGCTGTGGTGCTGCCAAAGGCTGGCTGGGTGCTAGCAGGAGTGCCGAAGGTGGAGGAGGCTGGGGGCTTCACACCACCGAAGGCCACTTGCGTGGTACTGCCAAAGGCCGACTGAGCAGGGCTCGGTGTTGGAGTCGCTGTTGGGGCCGAGGCCACAGTGTTTCCAAATGTGAAAGAGCTGCCAAAGCTTGGGGCAAGGGCTGACTTGGTGGCCCCCTGCTGCTGTCCATCAATGGCCCCAAACGTAGGCTGGGGGTTGGATCCTGGATATGCCGGGGGAGGGGGCTTGGTGCTTGAACCAAAGGGAATGTTGAATGCTGGGGTGGTGGTACTACTGAATGTCAAAGTCGGCTGGCTGGTGGTAACCGGGGCCGAGGTGCTGCTGCTGGGGGCTGCTGGAACAGCACTGGGGAGGGACTGGCCAAAGCTGGCACCTGAGGTTGAAGCTGGCACGCCAGGAGGCTTACCAAACTGGAAGATGGAGCTCATGGCTGGAGCCAAGCTGGCACCAGAGGCAGGGGGGGCCCCGAAGAGAAAAGGCTGGGACGCAGAAGTGGTACCAGCCACACTGCTCAAGGGGCTGGCCACATGGTTTACACCAAAGCCAAAAGCCGGCTTGGAAGCCGAATCTGCTGACACGCTGGCTGTGGTGGTGGGGGCCGCTGCAGAGAAGAGAGGAGCAGCCGTGGTGGTGGGAGCACTTGTCTGCTTGAAGGAGAAAGGAGTGGCTGACAAGGGCACAGATGTTGCTGGCCCCATGTTGCCAAAGATAGGCTTGAAAGTGGTGTTTGAGGTGCTAGGAATTGTGGGGAGAGTCGTGCTAGGAGAAGCTAGAGTTGGGATTGGAGGGTTAGTGGGCAAAGGGCTTCCATTCTCACTTTTAGGGGGCGCCCCAAAAATGGGCTTGAACATGGGCGATGCTTCAGACACATCGGGAGCTGCAGACGGGGTTGAAGTGGGGGTGCTCAGCATGCCAAACAGAATACTGGGCTTGGGGGTGGAGGATGGTGGAGTCGTCTCAGCCGGCAGGGCAGGAGGTGACTTGATGGTGTCAGTGACAGGCACCGTGAGCTCAGGGATCGGTCCTGGGAAAGCGGCTGTGGACTTGGAGTCTGAAGAGGTCCCTGACTGTGACGCCCCAAGAACAGCCAGAAGGCTGGGTGTCTTCGGAGGCAAATGGGCCACGGTGGTCGCCACCTCAGCAGGTTCTGCAACACAGAGAAATTTACTGAAAACGTGAATTCAAAATACTTGAAACATAGTGGTATTCGTGATTTTGATCTCTTTCCCATGCCCAGCACAGGGCTAGGGGTCCAAGGGGCATTCCACAAATATGTCTCAACCTATAGCACAGGCCTTAAAGCAAATCAAGCCAGTTATTTGTTACGTCCACTCTTCAAGGATCATTAAGACAGAAAAGGGTCAAAGGTGGCCTAATCAGAGGTTAAACATAAGGAAATAGGAAAATTTGATTACTAAACTCTAAGCCCAATTCTAGATACACCACAGTCATCAAACAAAAAATGGCTGCATCCACCTACCACGAGCTAAGGGCAGCAGAGTGCTCTGCTCTGGGCGCGGCGGGCTAGTACCCCCACAACACTACTGTGCTCCAGTGTGATCCCGGAGGCTCCAATGTGGGGTGACGAAGGCACAGGGAATTGGCCTAGCCAACTAAGCCTTGGGCACACACAGGGACAAGGGATGAGTATGGAGTCTACTAAACTTGTAACATGACATCTTCATGTTCTCAGTCACATTTTGGAGAAAACTCATAGGAAAAGCATGACCCTCACTTTATAGGTGAGGACACAAGGGACTAGGTTTCAAGTCAACTGTTGTTGGACCACCAAAGTGAAGTTGCTCTTTCTAGTTTTCCTTACAACTCTCTGATCAGAGGCCTGAGCCTACTGCAGCTATGAAGTCTGCCCCGCTGAGGCTTGGTAAGCCAGGGTAGGCGCAACCTTTCAAACAGTTTCCAGCAACGCAAGAGGCTCAGTGTTCACTTCCCCCTAGATGAAGGCCAGGACCATCCGCACTCACCTGGGAAGGATGGTGGGCTTGGGGCATTCTGCATCTTCCTCAAGCTCTCCAGCAGTGGCTGAGTGTTTGGGGTTGGGCTGCAGGGGGCTAAAGAGGCAGTCACCGCAGGCGCCGCAGCAGGCACAGGGAAAGTAAGAGGTGGCGGAGTGGCTGCTGGGGGCTCAGTGATGGAGGCTGAGGCAGCTTCTAAGGAAGAACAAGAAGCTTCAGCTGCCCGCCTTGTCTGGGGGCCTTCTCAGATGGCCCAGCAGGGCACAGGGACCCTCAGGGCTCTGTGTCACCTATCAACCATGCCCGCCCCTCATTCTCAGTGCTCACTATTTACTCGGCATCAAGGAAATTCCAAAATAAAACCAAAGGAAAGAAGTTCCTTCTAGGGTGTGAAAATGCCCTCTACTCCTTACCCGTCTTATCCTCCAAGACCTTGTTAAACCACTGGAATGACACTTTCTTTTCCAAGTCTAGGTCTTCAGCAGTTATTGAATAACCAAGCTGGGGAGGAGGAGGCTACCGAAGGGAAAAAGGTGTCAGTTAAATTGAAAGCAGCCGGAAGAAACCTGTATTTAGCCTTCCCAATGGGCGTTAAGACTGGGGAGAGATGAGACCATACCAGAGTTAGCTGGTCTCCTCGCCGAGAGGGCAGCAGCTGAATCTTCCGCTTTCGCTGCCCTGAGCTGCCAGATGTAGAGGGAGAATTCCACAAGCTCTGTTTCTTCCATGTGGTTGTATCATCAACTATTAAATTAAAAAAAAAGATTTGTTTTTGTTCTTCCCTCTTTCAAAATGCATGGCTTTATTCATCTACGTGGTTTTCTACATGGAGCTGTCACTGGGCTCTTGGACAGTGTTGGCAAGAGTATTTCAACACTCAAGATGCACACAACAGCTTCACTCACTGCCATCGAGTGGATTCTGATCCACAGCAACCCCACAGAGGGTTTCTGAGGCTTTCATCTTTACAGGAGCTGAAAGCCCATCTTTCTCCTGGGAGGCAGCTGGTGGGTATGAATGGCTGACCTTGTGGATAGCAGTCCAGTGCTGATCCTATAGACCCTCTAGGGCTTCTCATACAATGGCTACTGGACAGTAATAATCTGGGTCACTCAGACAGCTGCAACTAGCTCCCAGTTAGCCAAGTGAGACTGCATTTTTCTGGTACTTTTCTCCCTTGTCAGGCTGCAAATATTTCCAGAACAGAAATGTGTCTCTGCAGCTACTAGGTCTGAAATCAAAATATTTTTACAATAGTTACTATTTTTTTATCACTCCACAAATACTTTTACCACAAACCATTCTTTCTCATTTACCGACTTACTCTTTGCTCCCTGGGCCTCCTTGTCTGCTTCCAGTGGAGTGGAGGAACGGGAACGATGCGAAAGCTCCTCTTCTCTGCAGGGAAAGGCAGGATTAGGCTTCACAGCACTGCCCAAAGGAGGCTAGCCTTCGGACTCTCCTAATGTCCACAGTCTAGACCAACCAGGGCTTCAGAGCTCAGTGTGTCACAATAAACAAATAGGACTTAAAAGTGCAAAGAGTTGGTTCACAGAAGCCATGGACAAACCTTTAGGAATTATATAAAACAACAATCTTCACAACTCATTTATTTATGACTGATGCCAAGTTTCTGGGCATTCTAGATCCAGATCTGACCCTTAGGAAAGTGGACTCTAAGTACCCTGGGGGTCACATGGAGTCAAGAGCATGGAGACCACTGTCTGCTCACATGACCTGTTTACTCCTCTGTGTCTCCCACTCTGACCCCTAATCCCTCAAGCTGGGTTAACTGCAGAGAGGTGCCAGAGATGCATGGGTGGGTAGTTCACAGCTTTCTCCGAGATCCTCCACCCCTGGCCTCCCATTAACGTTACCTTATTTTCTTTGCTGGCCTCTCTGGTGTCTGGGAGCGAGATGAGGCTGGGCTAGAGAAGGGTGATGAACTGGGAGCACTTCGCTTCCACAGCTGCAAGTCAAACAGAAAGGCACACAGCTGAGGCCATCTGGTAACTCAGCACCTGACCACCTACACAATGCCACGGTGTCCCAGCTGTCATTGTGCCTGCTGGGGGCAGGGGTGGGGAGGCTGGAGAGAAGGCTACATGAGTGGAATGAGAACTAATGAATGCAAAAGGAGCTGCAGATACTAAAGAGCAGAAAGCTACTATCAGTAATGGCAGAGTGACGAGGCATACCGGTCTACTCTACACTGTCCCTGAACAATCCAAGTACAATATGAAATCGTTCCAATGAAGTTAAGCTAAGAAACTGAAGTCTTACATTCATTACACGCTGAGGTTTCCTTTATGAATTTTATTTTTCTTAATTGTATGCTGAGGTGATACTGAGGACCTTTCCAGCACCCATAGTATTTACGATGGCAGGATGACTATCCAGTCATCTGTCTCCTCTGCTAGGCACAGCCCCTCAGTCAGAAATGGTCCAGTCCCTCTCTGTGTCCTTTCAAAGGGCCCAGCAGCAACTGCACTGAGTACATCAAGGAAGCCTTCTTCCAACGCTGCCCTCACCCCTGAGCCTGTTGTTAAGAGCCATCAAGCCAGTTCTCACGCTCCACGATTCTGTGTAAGGGTATTCTAAGGAGCAGTTGGTGGGTTTGAACTGGTGCAGCTGCAGTTGAGTGCTCATCCTACAATGCCAACCCTAAACTCCTAGGGTTTATAGTGTATTTGTGAATAGACTGAAAAAAACAAGACAGCCTAATGACACACACAGTATACACTCATCTGAGCCCACTCTTACGTATTGGTTTCTGGTGGTTCCTCAAAAAGGCAGTGAATCACAGTATATTCACTAGACTGGTCTAATGAATGCTTCCTAAGAGCTCCAAAGAGAGAAGACCCAAACCCACTGCCACCAAGTCCTTCCCAACTCATAGCGACCCCGTGCAGACAGCAAATCAATAAAGGGTCCCCAAGACCACATAGCTTTATGGGAGCAGATGGTTAGGGCTCAGTGCCTAACCCACAGTGCCACCAGGACTCCCTAAAGAAGAGAAGGCTAAAATCAAAGGCCAGCGGTCTTTGTGAACTCAAGTCTGTTCTGTTGTGCTGAGACTAAGTGCAAGAAAGACCAGCTACTTGGGAAGGCCAAAACAAACACTGATTTGAAAATACAAGGTTATGGGGACATGAAAGAGAAGAATAGAAATATCTATCAAAGAGATTTGACGATTTAATCAGCACTATAAACAGTGTAGGAATCCTGGTGTGGTGTTGTGGGTTAATGTGCTGGACTGCAAAGCCAGTTTGAACTACAAGGTCAGTGGTTCAAGCTTACCAGCTGCTCTCCTTGGAAACCATATACACATTATGGGTCAGAACTGACTTGATGACACTTAACAACAACAACATAAATGGTATGGGTGCTATAGGATAAGCACAGGACCACAAGGTCGGTTTTAATCACGAAGTCGGCAGTTCAAACACACCAGTCCTTGGAAACCCTATACTGGGTCGCTATGAGTCAGAACCAGCTCAAGGCCACTAACAACAACAACAACAACAAAATAAATAGTATAAGAAAGTTAGTGGAAAATGGAATTTTCCCAAACTTTTAAAAGCCTCCTCATTGGTCATCAACAAGATTATTCAGTTTGTGGAATTTCTAAAAAACAAAATCACTTGGGTCTCATCCCCTTGTGTATTTTGCTTATTTTTTAAGCAAAGTGCCAAAGGTGATTCTTACAGTTAGCCAGGGTTAATATGTCTCTACTTCATACACTGCACATAAACACAATTCAGATACAAAAGATTCACATGTAAGAAGTGAAACAAAAAAGAATCAAAAAAATAAGTGAGTTGCAAAATACCAACAGAAAGGGAAGGAGTCGTCACATCAAGGATCAACCCTATCTCCTCTGTACACAGGGTTGACAGGGATGGGCAGCTTACACACTGGTGACCTAAAATTGGGGATGGGGGTGCAGAAAAGGCACAAAGTGACTGACTTACAAGTTTTCAAGAGGGAGCTGAGTCTCAGAGTGTGCGAGGGAAGTAGAATTCCCACTGAATAGTTTTCATTTTGTCTATAGACAGGTTTGGTGAAAAGAGATGGGGATAAGAGTCTTATGAGTCAATATTAAGTAATTGTTATCAAGACTAATTGTGACTGTCACAACTGTAAAGGTAGAAGTTTTGTAACATAGAGGGGGGGAGTAGTTAATCCTACAGTCCAGGAACAGAGAACCCTAGGACCATCAAGGGAGAAGAGCACAAGCGGAATGCGAGACCCTACCCAGAAAAGCAGCAACACCAGAGATGGAAGCAGAGATGGTGACATGGAGAAAGAGAGCAGCTGAGGACTTTAGACTCATGGGTAGAGAAAGGCTGTGTGCTGGCGGCTTGCAGACTGGCCTTTGGCAGTTTAAACGATTATATACTCCCGAGTGTTTTTGTGTACCCTCTCCCCCAAAACAACAACTACAACAGAGGGAATAGAATCAAACTGTTAAATGATGCTGCTGTTATTGTTAGGTGCCATCAAGTTGGTACCAACTCATAGCAACCCTATACACAGAATGTAACACTGTCCAGTTCTAGGGTAACCTCACAATTGCTACCACACTTGAGCCCACTGATGCTGCCACTTTGCCAAATCCATCTCGCTAGGGGTCTTCCTGTTTTTCTCTGACCCTTAACTAAACATGATATCCCTCTCCAGTGACTGGTCCCTCCTGACAATATGTCTGAAGTATGAGAGACGAACTCTGGCCATCTTGGCCTCCAAGGAGTACTCTGGCTGCACTTCTTCCAACACAGATCTGTTGGTTCTTTTGGCAGCCCATGGCACTTTCAATATTCTCCTCCAACACCATAACTCAAATGCA